CGCCGAGTGATGGAAAAACTCAGAATCAGGTGTGCCAGGTGCTATAGCTGGGTAGTGCGCATGCGCGATGGAAAAGCTCGTTTCATTCCGGCGCAAGCCCAATGTAAGCCGTTGGAGCTCAGCTATTCGGGTCGCTCTGCACTGTGGCCACTCGGAGGTAGATTCTTGGGGACGGGCTAAAAACGGTGGGAATCTGCGGCTTTCATGGCGGGAATTTCATTACCCGTACTTAAATAGCTGCATGCTGTGTTCTCATCGATATAACATTGCGCATTTGTAATCGCCTGTTGGTAAAAAGGAATGCTTAGATGCGCGTCAGTGCCTAGAGCAAAAAGAAACGTGCTCGATTCGAGTAACGTTTGTAATCGACAGGTGCAATGAGCTCAGCTTTCTCTTCCTGGTGTGCTTTGCCAGCGTTGGTGAACACTAAACATACCCTTTCGTGCCCGCACACCCATGCTGTGTGGCAGGCGGAGCAAGTGTGCGTGACACTGAACCACGGTGCACTGACAGAACCTGGTGATGTCTTTTGGTACCTCGCGGTAACGGCCGGGTAGGTGCGCTGGTCAACGACGCGAGAACTTTACATGAGAAAGCACGGGTGTCGATTTGTGTGCTTTTGGGTGGGCCCCTGCCCCCCCCCCGGGCCGATTTGCCCCCCCCCCCCCACCACAAAAAACTGAGTTCGGCCCTTCCATCCTTCTGGACCAAAAGTACAAGCTGGACATTCCAAATGGGAAATAATGATCCTGCCATTTTAAAAGAAAGTTTCCACTAGCTGCTTTTCAGGAGGAGGAAGCAACGAAAGTAAAAGCTGCCATATCATGTTCACGTGAATATAGCTGACTGAGCTAGTTACACTGCAAACGCTCCACGTTCGTACCGTGTTTGCTTGAGTATACTCTTTTTTCTTGCACGACGACATGCTTTTACGTCCACGACTCGGTTGCAGTTGTCAGTTGTCACATGTCATTGTTTAAAAACGTCATCATACCTTGCCCAACATTGATTGAGAGCCTATTGACGGCCGTTATATCTGGAAATCGTGCTTACGAACGCCAGATGTGAACGACTCGACGATGACATTTCACTTGGCCTTCACCGCCGCATGGGTTATCGAATGGCAGGATTTGAATGACGTTGGTACGACGCTACGAATGCCAATGTGACCTTGAAACGCTTTCCCTGAAATGGTCTCCCCATCTTCGCGGACGTGCGCATCGGGCACTACGGCGGTTTAGGTCTTCGGTAAACTTCGATGCGTTTATGGCCGCCCAAAAATGTTGTACGGCCATTCACATCTAGCGCCCGCGAACACGATCCCAATTTTGGTATGCGCTAATTGGTCCCCACTCATCAATGAGCAGGTTGAGCGCGATAGGACTACCAATCACGTTTTTGTGCTGTGCGAGATGAGAAGTTGGACATGGTCGCTGGTTATCACGGAACTACGAATTATAATTGAATGACTTCAGAACAGCGTCATTACCGAGCATTTGAATACAAATAAACTTCTTAAGCTCACGGATAAATGTGCTGGAACAGCACGAGAAACAGTCAAAGCACGAACACAAACGATCTTTGGCTCAACGAACACTTTCAGTGCCGCTACTGCCATCTTCTGGC